AACATGACCTTCCTTACCAGAATATTCTGCTCTAATGAGCTTTGAATTACCAGTGACCTTGCTGCCCTTCCCTCCACATGCTGTCCACAATGGTTTTCCATGAAATGTGTCACTTCACCTCCACTAGAGCATAGATGCACAGAGACCATTATAGATGACCATCTCTGTCTGTTGGACAGTAAGCAGGAGAATATGCCTCAGAGGCTTCCAGCGGAATGGGGGCAGGAAGCCATCACAGCCTGAAATATAAATTTAACTCCATCAAAGTTCCCCCTTGGGAGAAGTCCTGCATGGCTTGGGTCTGCCTGTCAGAACCCATCAAAAATTTGTGGAAATCATTATTTGTGAAAGGCATAAGATTGCCATCTGATAAAAGAGAAGCTATTTTGAGTAAGAATTGTGGTTGCGTGTCTTATGAATCATCCAGGTAAGGTGAGGCAGGCTCAGCTGTAGGAATTTGTCCCTTTCCTCCAAGAGCCTTGAATAAGTTCATGTGTGCATCACTCATATTCATCTGCTGAGAGAGTATTCACTTTGTAAACTGGAACTGAGGTCTGTCTCAGACTCAGTGAGATTTCAACAGCCTCCTAAGCAATTAATCAACCAAAAAAATCATCAGTAGAAGAAAGAGGGCAAAGGAATGGAATTAATGGGGAAAATCATTTTAATCTCATTAGCAAGCTATGCCTTAGACCAGCAATAAGTCAAGAAGCCATGAGCATGGCATGATGATTAACCTTGTGTATTTTAGGGGTCACTGAAATACGAGCTCATTTATTAGACCTTCTTGATGAGGGTGGGCTGTTGCCATAATAAATGGAGTTTTCTTCTTAAGCCTGTAGTTCATAAAGTCCCTGGACTGCTAAATGTAACCTATGTGAAGAGGGCTAATACATGACCTTGGGCACTCTCCTGTACAAGCAATCCCCTTTCAAGGAACAAGTGGAGGGATTGTCCATAGCTAGGAGGAGAGTCTATCCAGCCCTTGCAAAGATAAAATGCAAACTTCTCCTAGAAGCAGGATCTACTGTAATAACTGGGCTTAGGCTGTAACTTCCTTGTGTTTAGATCAAGATTTTGAGGTGGGCATGATGGTGGGCACCTGTAATTCCAGCCACTCAAGAGGCTGAGGTAGGAAGATCTCTGACTGAGGTCAACCCGGGAAAATCTCTGGTGATATCTGAAAAAACAAACTAAGGCAAATAGGGCTGGAGGCATGGCTAAAGTGGCAGAGTGTTTGTCTTGAAGAAGGAGGCCTGTAGTTCAAACCCCAACACCAGTAGAAGGAAGATTCACAAAAAGCAAACAAACAAAAAAAGATTTATACTTTTAAAATTTGATTATTGATTAACTCCTTGGGGAATGAATGCTCCAAATATCAAGGATTAAGAAGAAAACTATTTTTTTTTATTTCAGACATTTTTTTCCAAGAAATATTTCTAAAATGTTTTATTCTGAACTATAGCCCAAATGAGTTTATAGCACGATAAATATAATTGCACCTTTCTCTGTGACTAAGATTTGTTTTGCCTTCAAGATCATCACTCTGTAAAGTTTGTAATATTGTGTCCTATACTATTTGCACCCATAATACAGGGCACATGTGTGTGTGTAAAGAGGACAGAGAGAAAAAGACTAGTAGGCCAATCTATAAATTCATAATTGACCCAAAAATATGTTCTAGGATTTGCTTAAAATGATCAAACAACGAATGTGCAGGATTGCTTTTCCTTGTTGACACACTGACTTTATTTCCTTTGGGCTTCCAATGAATCCAGGTTTTATCACAGTTAGGAAGCAAGAGAGATGGGGGGGGGGGGGGGGGGGGGGGGGGGGGGGGGGGGGGGGGGGGGGGGGGGGGGGGGGGGGGGGGGGGGGGGGGGGGGGGGGGGGGGGGGGGGGGGGGGGGGGGGGGGGGGGGGGGGGGGGGGGGGGGGGGGGGGGGGGGGGGGGGGGGGGGGGGGGGGGGGGGGGGGGGGGGGGGGGGGGGGGGGGGGGGGGGGGGGGGGGGGGGGGGGGGGGGGGGGGGGGGGGGGGGGGGGGGGGGGGGGGGGGGGGGGGGGGGGGGGGGGGGGGGGGGGGGGGGGGGGGGGGGGGGGGGGGGGGGGGGGGGGGGGGGGGGGGGGGGGGGGGGGGGGGGGGGGGGGGGGGGGGGGGGGGGGGGGGGGGGGGGGGGGGGGGGGGGGGGGGGGGGGGGGGGGGGGGGGGGGGGGGGGGGGGGGGGGGGGGGGGGGGGGGGGGGGGGGGGGGGGGGGGGGGGGGGGGGGGGGGGGGGGGGGGGGGGGGGGGGGGGGGGGGGGGGGGGGGGGGGGGGGGGGGGGGGGGGGGGGGGGGGGGGGGGGGGGGGGGGGGGGGGGGGGGGGGGGGGGGGGGGGGGGGGGGGGGGGGGGGGGGGGGGGGGGGGGGGGGGGGGGGGGGGGGGGGGGGGGGGGGGGGGGGGGGGGGGGGGGGGGGGGGGGGGGGGGGGGGGGGGGGGGGGGGGGGGGGGGGGGGGGGGGGGGGGGGGGGGGGGGGGGGGGGGGGGGGGGGGGGGGGGGGGGGGGGGGGGGGGGGGGGGGGGGGGGGGGGGGGGGGGGGGGGGGGGGGGGGGGGGGGGGGGGGGGGGGGGGGGGGGGGGGGGGGGGGGGGGGGGGGGGGGGGGGGGGGGGGGGGGGGGGGGGGGGGGGGGGGGGGGGGGGGGGGGGGGGGGGGGGGGGGGGGGGGGGGGGGGGGGGGGGGGGGGGGGGGGGGGGGGGGGGGGGGGGGGGGGGGGGGGGGGGGGGGGGGGGGGGGGGGGGGGGGGGGGGGGGGGGGGGGGGGGGGGGGGGGGGGGGGGGGGGGGGGGGGGGGGGGGGGGGGGGGGGGGGGGGGGGGGGGGGGGGGGGGGGGGGGGGGGGGGGGGGGGGGGGGGGGGGGGGGGGGGGGGGGGGGGGGGGGGGGGGGGGGGGGGGGGGGGGGGGGGGGGGGGGGGGGGGGTGGGGGGGAGAGAGAGGAGAGAGAGAAGAAGAAGGAAGGAAGGAAGGAAGGAAGGAAGAATTTTTGACTCATTGAGAAGATAGAATAATTTTAATAAAATGAAAAGGTCCCATAATGGGGAAAGCAGGATACCAGAACATGTATGCAAGTGAATGCCCTGGAGATATACACATGGAGGCAAAAGGCAGAAGTGACACCCAGCAGCATGGCTGTCCCTGTGCTGGATGGTGGGCTTCTGAGCCACCTTTATTTTCACCTCTGTCCTCCTTCTAATATGTGTTTGTTTGTTTGTTTGTTTTTACAGTAAGTGCACATGACCTTGATAATAGGGAAAAAGTTATTTTTTGGAAAAATAATTTATCTTTTTATCTAGCTCTTGTCCAAGGGGCTGTGAATGTTCACAGAGGAAAACACTATGCTTGGACCACCTGAGTCTCTGCCTCCTGCACAGGATGGACACATAAACAAGTGCAGTACAAATATGTAATAAATGAGCAAATGAGATGGACGTGCAGATGTGTATTTTAATGAAGAGACACTAGAGCTCAGTGATTAGGAATGAAGGCTTTTGAGCTGGGCGTGGTGGCTTACTCCTGTAAATCCCAGCACAGGAGGTGGAAATTGGGAGGAATGGAGGTTCAGACTAGCCTGGTAATAAGCCAGATACCATCTCAATCAACAAGCTGGGTTGTGGGGGTATGTGCCTGCCATCCCAGCTATGCAGGAAGCTGTAGGTAGGAGAGGCTCACAGTCTGAGATTGGCCCTGGGAAAAAAATGTGAGACCCTACCTGAAAAATAACTAAAGCAAAAAGGGCTGGCAGCATGGATCAAGTAGAGTGCCTGCCTAGCAAGTGTGAATCCCAGAGATCAAACCAGTTACCACACACACACACACACACACACACACAAAATAGGGCTTTGAGCTGGTATGGTGTTACATGCCTGTAATCCAGAACTTGGGTGGCTGTTGAGATAGCATGATTGAGCCCTATCAAAAAAAAAAAAAGACTGGCAGAATTGGGTTGGAGTGTGCTCTGCCTCTTAGGCAGCTGTTGTGACATTAGGTGAGTGATTAACCTTCTCTGAGCTTCTCTTTCTCCATCTCTGAAATATGACAATATCTCCTGTCTGATGTGAGAGGTAGAGGAAAAGAATGGATCAAGGTCCCTGACGCAGAGCAGAACCCCCAACAACCTGCGGCCAGTGCATATTCAGCTGGAGGATATGGGGACTGCCTGCCTTGCTGTCCCTGCCCAAGAAGCAGAGGGACTCTTCCCTGCGCCTTGCCTTCGGGCCAGCCCCAGCTCTTGGAATCTGAGGGAAATGCAATTAGCACAGGCTGTGAAATCAATTGGGTTTGATTCCTGCCTCTGTCCCAAGCCAGTTGTGTGACCTCAGATAAGTCAGGTTGCCTCTCCACACCTGTTTTCTTCTGAAAAATTCCAGTATTGATAATAGTAGCTGGCACTATTAAGAGCTTACTGCCTGCCAAGACTTGGCACGAGTGCTTCTGTGCCCTGAGAAGTGAGGCGACGGTGGCTAAAGCCACCCGTGTTCAAAACAGGTTTGCTCCATCTGTCTGCTGGGGAACCTTGGGCAAATTACGTAGCGTGTTTGTGCCTGAGTTTCCTCCCTTTTAGAGGGAGTTAATAACTGTCTACCTCGTTGGATTGCTGTAGAGACTGTGGGCTCAGAGCCATGTCTGACACTCAGGGAGCACACACTCCATTTGTCTTGTGTGACCATCACACCAGCCATTCTGATGTTAAGTACATTTTGTTCCCAAAGAGAAGACTGAGTCTCAGCAAGGTAAAGGAACCTGCTCAAGGCTGCACAGCCAGCAAGACGCAGGCATGGGATTGGAACCTTGATTTGGCTGCTTGGTGCTCAGGCTCTCACAAGGCTGGGTGAAGTAAAGGACCCAGTAAAATGACCAGCATTGTAGATGCTCCTTGTACTCAGAGTTTCAGACTTGCCCAGCCCAACTCAGCCTGGATGCAGCTCCTCTCCTCCCCCCATCCATCCATGATGAGCTCTGGATTTTCTACATCACCACATCCTCACCACCTTCGGAGAAAGCCAAATGTGTTTAGTATCAGGCCAGAGAGGTGTCTCGTTTTTATTAGTGCTAATCTAATATGCTGTCTTTCCTGGCTGAACTCTGAATAAGTCCATCAAGGATGGGCTGCACTTATGTTTACTTAATAACACTGCTTGCTTCCAAGGCTGCCTGCTGAGCGCCCCGAGTATAGGCTCCTTTATTGTGTTCTGTCTTTCCTCTCCTCGCATTTTATAAAATCTGAGTTGCCGGGTTGGGGGGTGGTGGGGGAAAGCAACTAGCATGGTATAGAAGAGGACTCCCAAGCCTCAGAATTTAATAGAGCTTGTTTTAAATCTCAGTTTCCTATTAGTTACCTGTGTAACCGGGGTAAGTGATTTCTCTGTGAGACTCAGTTTTACCATCTGTAAAATGGGAAAACCACAGCTACCAATTTATTAAACTGTGATAATTATATGAGGCAATGAGCAGTTGCCCAGCTAGCTCAGTCGGTAGAGCATGAGACTCTTAAATAAGGCAATGAATGAGATGCTTATAATATGGACCATATTATAATGACCATCCAATAGACATTGTCTGCACCAATACTGAGAGCAGCTATTAAATGGCCTGTAACGATGAACAAGATGTGATAGCATTTTACACATATCCTTTCATTCTAATGTATGAAAACCAAGCAGAACAATGACTGGCATGAAGTAGGAACTCGAGAAATAGTAATTATCATTATTAGCAAAAAGTAGTGCTCCATGGTCTCTCGGTATCTGTGAGGGATCCCTGCGAACACCAAATTCTCTCATGCAAAATGGCATTGTATTTGCAGTCCTCCCGTCTACGTTAATTCATCTCTAGATGAAGTTTACCGTGCCTAAAACAGTGCAGATGCTACAGGAATAATCATTATACTGTAATGCTGAGGGAGCAGTGACAAGAAAAAAAACCTGGACATGTTAAGTACAGATGCATTTTTTTCCTGAATATTTTCTATCTGCAGATGGTTGAACCCGAGGGCATGGAACACTCGGATGTGGAGAGATGGCTGTATTAAAGTCTCACAACACAACACATGGAGCTGTTGAGTGTATCCACTGTGCCATGGGTGCCGTGTTCCACAGGGAACAGTGATCGCCTATGCTTGCATAGATCCCCTGTGGAATATGAACCATGAGAGTCTGGAGGAGTGTTTGATCAAACCTGGAAGGGACAACAAACTGGAGGTGAGCAAAACTGAGATTCAGAGGAGTGGAGCTAATCCTGGGAGGTCCTCTGGGCAAAGGAGAGTCCTTCATTCATTCAACCATCCAATCGTCCATCCATGTGGAGCGCCATCTTTGTGCTGGTGCTGTCCCAGGTGCTGACAAAACATAACTGAATAGGACCAGCAATGCTCTGCCCTCCTAGAGCGGACGGTGAAGTAGGGGAGGCAGATGATAAACAAAGAAACACACGCACACACAAACACATGCACACACCCCTCCACACCTACACGCACACACACATGCCCAAGATTGCTTTCAGATAAATTCTGCAACAAAAAATAAAGCTGAGGAATGTGGTTGTGACCAAATAAGAAATGGGACCAGTTAGACACTCTGGGAAGCATCTATGGGAAGCCAGGGTTTGAGTAGTAACAGGAAGGAAGAGACAAAAGGATTTATGCGAAGATCTGGGAGGAGAGCACCCCAGGTGAAGGCAACTGCATATACAGAAATCCCAAGGTGGAGCAGGCCTGGTGTGTTCAATGAATGGTAAGAAGGACAAATGGGTGGGTGGAGTATACTGAGTGGGAAAGGAAGGCTGGGAGGTGGCCTTGGAAGGGGTCTTGGGTCTATCCTAAGCCTAATGAAGAGCACATGTTAAGGTGCAGAGTTGTAAACATTTTGGAGCTTTCAAAAGACCAGATGGAGCCGGAGTGGCCAGGGTGAGGTTGAGCTGGAAGGAAGATGGAGAAGGTAGAAAAGTGTGCAGCAACTCACGCCATCCCTGTACCAACGAGATGGGCTGCCCTCTCCAGGTAGACCCTGTGAGCACTTCCTGAATGTCTCTCACAACCCACTGTGCATGGCACGGTGCTGGTAATGGGCTGGAACTCTCCTGACCCTGACTCTCTGGACTTTCAAGACTGCCTGGAAGGGAGCAGCTATTAGACCCATTTAATGGATTTCAAAACTGAGGTGTGAGAAAGGAAGTCATTTATTTGGGCTACAAGGCTGGCTGGGGTAGAGCTTAACTATGAATCCAAGCCTGGGTGCATTCTGCCCCTCCCACTATTCCCTCACCTCCCTATGGGTTTTCAAAGAAGCAGAAATCTAGGAGATTCTGAGAGTGGGAGGCAGGTCTTCTGGAAGGTCCTGAGCCAGGTGCATTGTGGGTCTGGGGAAGGGCAGGTTCCCTCCGTTAAGCCTGCTGCCCGGGCTGTCTGGGAGCTGAGTTGCAGTGCAGGGCCCAGTCAGCAAGGTTCGCCCTGGGCCTTAAGGCTTTATTCTCCCAAGCCATGTGGCCTGGATTCCCGCAACATCCATCTGTGTTCATCTCGTGAGTCTCAGGGGTTGGGCTTCCTCCCCAGCATGCTGATCAGATGAGAAGGTGCCAGCACACCCGGGCACAAAGCCAAAGAAAGCCAGGTATTCCAGCCAGATGAATGAGAGTTACACTCCAGTATGGCCACCAACAGTTCTGCAGCCTTGAGCCAGTGTCTTCCTCTGAAAGCCTTGGTTTCTGTATCTGTTAACTGGGCACACGATCATGGGTGCCTTGTTCAAGCCCATGACATTCAGTGAAAAACCAAAGAAAAGTCCTTTGGATAATGAAAGGCTGAAAATATGAAATGGAATAGCCCAGGACAATGACATTCCCTGGAGAGCCATCACCAAGGGACCAGCATGGGGGACGGGGTGGGGATAGGGAAGGGGTGCCGTTTGGTGGAGCTGAAGTGCAATCACTTGTTGCCATATGTTTTAGGCTCCTGGGGCCTCTATTTCTTCATCTTTGATGGGAACGGAAGCAGCAACACAGAATTGTGGTGCTAATTTGACTCCTGTTAAATACGATGGCACCTGGGCCATGGAACATTCAGTACATGCTGGCTGTTTTGATTTTCCTGTGTATTTATCAAGGACTGAAAAAAGGCTGCAGGGGGCGGGGTCAAGCTTTAAATTAAACCTTGGAATACTTGGGGCTCAAATCCAAGCTTGCCAGTCGACTAGCTGTGTGACCCTGCACTAACTAGTAGTGTCTCTGAGTTTCAATTTTTAAACTCTGTAAATGGCAACGTAATGCAGTGCAGGTGCTGTTCTTGTGTGCCTACAACTGCGTGAAGGCTGGATCCTATTTAATATTGCACTCAGACGGCTGTTCTTTCAGTATTGTTATAATTTCCCTTCCTTCCCTTCGCCCCTCCAGGCCTGGACCCTCAAGCTCTTACCTCGCTCCTCCTCCTTCTCTCTGACCACTCTTCCCTTGAGGGCTCGGCTCCACACTCCACCATAGTCTCCAAGCTTGGCTCTCTCATTGGTGTCTTTGCCTTTGAACGAGGGTCCATATCTGCGGGCGATGCTGGAGGCTTCACCTGTGTCCCGAAAACCTCTGCCCAGGTGCAAGTCACCCAGGAAGGGCAGTTCTGCGCCTTCAGCTGGGCTCCCCACAGCGGGGTTGGCCTGACTCTGGGAGACAGCGGGCTGGCCCACAAAGCCTGAGTGCAGGAAGACGAGGCTCCCAGCTGTCAGGTAGAGAGCCAGAAAGGTGAAGAAGCGCACAGGTTTCCGGCGGAAGTACCGCTGGAATTTGAACCAGAGCTTGGCCATAGCGGGATCATTCCGGACTGGCAGGCCAGGACTCAGCTAGTGGGCTGGGGAAGGATAGAGGGGGTTGGTCTCCCAAGTCACCCTTAGGCATGGAACTCCTGGGGATCCTCAGTCTGAGTCTCTTTGTAGAGGAGATTGTTAGACAGGCTAGAGGGAGTGGGCAAGGTCAGTGCTTGGCTGAGGCCAAGAGAAAGGAGAACAGAGGTCACCAGCCTCCCAAGGTAAAGGTGAGCTTCTTGGGGCCAAGAATGGGAACGTTCAGGAGATGATCGCATTTTCCTACATCTTGATCTTTCTGTCAGAGAGTTCCAAAGAACTCTGAAGATCCAACTGGAGGAGGGTTCCGGGTCCCCGGCAGCTGCAGGCCACTCTTGTGCTTTCTCAGCTCTTTAGGCCTGTTGGAGTGGATTAGTTCAGGGAGAGCTTTGATTTTGGTCTCTTCTTCATCTGGGACCAAGCTTGGTGTGGCCTTCTGGGAACAAATGCTGGATGTCAATTATCAGGACACAGGACTGCCACCTGCAAAACAGCATGGACACAGGCGTGAAGAGCCCCTCAACAAAGCACAGAATCCAAAGAGGTCTTGAGCATCCTCAGTGGGGCTGTGGAGGCCCAGAGAGGGGAGGAAAACCACCAGTGCCTCAAGGCCTCTTGGGGCAGTGCTCACAGGGGCCCAAACTGGAGACTTTCAGAACACTGCCTTTTCTTTAAGCCAAACTGGAAATACGGAGGGGGGGCGGTGGGAAGGGTTAGTCCTACGGGGCCCTAGTTCTGGGATCAATTTTATCTCAGTCAAGTTCAAGTTCTTATGAGCTAGTGGTATACAGCTGCCCCTCAGTAGCCATGGAGAATTGGTCCCAGGAACACCATGGATACTCAGATCCTTGAACACTCAGGTTCCTTATATACAGTGTTACAGGGTTTTCACAGAGCCCATGTGAAAACCCTGCTACATTTTAAATCATCTTATAATATCTGATACAACGCAAATGCTATGCAAATAGTGGTTATACTGTATACCTTAGGGAATAATGACAAGAAAACCTTCTGTACAGGTTCAGTGCAGATGCAATTATTTTCCAAATATTGTCCATCTGTAATTGGTTGAATCTGCAGATGAGGAACCTGCAGGTACAGAAGGTCAGCTTTATTTGGGTCAAACTTCCTATATATCTGTCAAATAGACATGGATTTTTATTTTCTTACTCCAAAAGTGTACTTGTAGTTCCTAGTGAAAAATTCATTCCTTACCTGCAAGGCCAGGTGGGATCCGAATTTGCCCAATTTTATTCATTTTTTATCCCAACACATATTTCATGAGACCCACTCTACACCAGGTGCTGTCTCAGGTGCTGGAGATACAGCTGTGAGCCAGACAACACCCTTTCTCAGGTAGAAAGTGGATTCGAAAATAGACCGATGATGTTTCATATTACCACCAGCAGGGGGCCCCATGACCATCTAAGCCAATGCAATGGGTTTCAATTGTCAGCCAATGGGAGATTTGCATTGTGACAGCCTCTCCCACTCCACATAGCAGCTTGGGGTTTAACTGTGGTTTAGGGTACTCTGCCATTCATTCAGGAGCTCAGTACTGAGCACCTGCTCTGCACGTATCATCTCCTATGCATTTGAAACACATAAATGAATGACGCACAAAAATCCATGTCCTGTGGAGTCAAACTATCCACCCATCAGTCCATCCATTCATCCACTTGTCTGTCATCCATCCATCCATCAGTACACCTACTCACCCATTCATTAAGCCATCCATGAATACATAATACATACATACATACATACATACATACATCTGAGCCCATTGATCCTTTGAACTCGCCAACCATCCAGGCATTCACCCATTCTTTCATTAACTTAAAAATACATGCTGATTGCTTACTATGTGTGTACTAGGCATGGAGGAATAAGTCAGAGTCTCTGCTTTCAGCAAATTCTGGGCCAACTGAGGGAGAAAACAACTGAAATAATAACTATCCTAGATAGACAATGATAAATTCCAGAGTAGAGACATGTGTGTGTATATATACATAATATAGACAGCAAGTAATATTATTAATGCTTATTGGGCACTTAATATGTGCCATACATTATTCTTTCTTCTCTCTCTCCCTCTGATTTGATTCTCGTAGCAATTCTATGGCGGCAACCCGCATCACTTTACAGGGTTATGGAATGACTATCAGAGAGATTAAGTAACTTATTAAAAGTCACCTGGTAGTAACGGCCACTGGGTTGTGAGTCTAGGACCGGCTGACTTCGAAGTCTACATTCCCAGTCTCGTATCTATTCTGATCTTGTATGCCTTTGGAGCAGTGGAAGCTACGGATGTATGCCCCCCAAAAGCACTGGTCCCAAGTTCCCAGACTTTGGCTTAAAATGTCAGGAGGCTTGTTGGCCTGGGGTGAGAATTCCTGGGAGGTAGGAACCTAGGGCAGTGAGGGTCTTCAGCTGTGTGGGAGTATCAAAGAGGGCTTTCCCAGAGAGAGGTCTTTGGACTGGCAGGTCTTACAAAAGAAGAGCATAGTCTTGCAAGAGGAGCAAAAGTTCCCTGAATGAAAGAACAGCAGGACAGGAGGGGAGGAGGACCAGCACACAGCGTGGGTGCCAGACCCTGGGGAGCCTTGCACACCAAGCTCAGGCATCTAGACTGTGTTCCAGTGGCCCCCGTGGGGACCCATTGAAGTTTCATGGTCATGCTGACCCTTTAGGAAGGTCTCTTACTAGCTTAAAACCAGGTCCAATGGTTATCTATGCAGACACACATCTGCCAGATTTTTCTGTAGTGGGCCAGGATAAGAAAGAGCCAGAAGCTCTCATAGGTGAGCAAGGGATAGTCTTGCTTCCAAGACACTGAGGCTACAGCAAGAGCCTTGGGTACAAGTCAATGTGGGTTCAAGTCCTGCCTCTTCCACTTGCCAGTTGGTTGATGGGATAAGGCACCTGGTCACACCAGCAGTCAGGGTCCTCCTCTGTGCAGTGGGCCAAAGACTCTTGACTCCCCCTAAAGATTATTTTAGTGGAAGATTGGATTAAAAATTGTAGGAAGAGTGTCCAGAGCAAAGGTTGGTCAAGGAAAGCCCACCCCACAGGCTCCTCTTCTGGACACACATTAGCAGCCTGAGAGCCTTTTGCCACATCAGCACATTGGCTGTTGTGCAGACAGCAAAGACGGTGGCTGTCCTGTCCCCTGTGGCTTTTGCCTCTCTGAGGATATTTTTGGGTCTGGCCTCTTTTGTTGCTCTGTCCTTGTTCCTTTTATACCCACATGCCTTTTCTCTAAGTGGGCACTGAATGGGCTTTATGGGAGATGGAGCTCGTTAGTAGCTGGCAGGGAACGGAAGACACTGAGGCTTTGCGGGTGGGGTGGGAGGACAGGGAAGAAGGCCCATATCACCCCCACCTTCAGAGATCCCTGCCCGTCCCAGAGGGAAGGTGTTGACCTGTGCTACCCTCACTATCCTGCCAGGGCTGGAAGGAAAAGAACCCTGCAATCCGAGCTCCATGCAGGTGGGACAATGTATGCACTACTGTGACCTGGTCCCCAGCATCTGGGACACAGAAGGACCCCAAGAAATAATGGAGGAGGTAGATGAAAAGAGAAGGGACTGTCCCCAAACCCAGAGCTTAAATCTGAAACTAATCCCTCAGGAGACTGCAAATTCAGCAGAGGCAGCTGAGTGGTTCTGGGTTCACAGACCCCTGTACTCAAAGGAATCCTAAAGACTCCTCTGCCTCCCATATCTGTTAGCCAATCACAGACCATGTATCTGCAGCCCTAGGTTGACCTGCAGGAAGCCCCTTCTGCTCTGCCTCCACTCGCTCTAAGTCCTCCTCGTTAACTACAGCATGAAAGCTCAGGTGGGTGTCTTTCCTTTTCAGGCTACAGTTTTCTCTCTATAGTGTGAGTCAACCAAGAAAGGGTCCTGGGCAGGACAAAATGAGACCATGCACAGGGCTGAGGCTGTCACTCATGAGAGCTGGCTTTCGGAGCCTCAGTGGGCCTGTCTGTTGACATACCCTGACCCACAGTTTCTGCAGGGCTGAAGCCAGGGCATCTTCTGAGGAGACGGCAGCCTTGGGTTTTTGCAGTTCATGTTTCCACCAAGAGCCTCAGAGTCGCTAAACCCAGCTTATTTTTAGCACCAGAATGAACCTCATGGGTTGAGCTGCCAAGAAAAAGACAGGCGGGGTACAGTTGCCTTGCAGGAAGGGAACAGAGAGGCATGGCCTTCCCTGGGATGCCCTCCCCTGGGAGTGAAAGGGGCTCCCCTTCCAGGTTCTAGGGGAGGAAGAGGCAGACGAGAAATGAGGCTGGAGGCTGGTAAGGCCAGGCCTTCCTTTCTCAGCCCTAGAACCTATCCTGGGGGACAGAGGCAGTCAGAGGGGATGGCCACACTCAGAGACCGACTTCTGAACCACACAAGCATGATCAAATAAAAGCTCCTGAGAAACCTAGCTGGTGAAGGTCTGAGACTTTCTAAGCTTAGAAGAAGACACCTCGGGGTCAGTTCAGGAAACTGAGGAGCACAGGCCGGATGGGAAATTTTCGTCTTAGTGTAATAACAAAAATGCCAGAAATCACTGGGCTTTTTGAGCCCTTATGTATGTCAGGCGCTGTGCTCATCAACACCTATCCTCACTGCTCTGTTTAAGCCTCACTATTGTCTTTTGAGGTGGTCATTGACCTCTCTGTACCTCAGTTTCCTTTCTAGACTGGGGAAATATTAGTTGCTTAACTAAATGGGTTAATATATGCAGATGCAGAACACTATGCTTACATATTATGTGCAAATTCTCCCTTTGTTACAATAATTTACTGAGACCACGTGGTTTTTGCCTGCTCAGCACCCCTCATTTTTTGGTTTAAGATCCCCATTTTTCTTCACGGAGCTTCTCCCTTATTTACTCTCAGCTCATGTGGCTTGGGAAGAATAAATCCTTCTTAGCAGTTGCTGTGAGCATTCTTAGACCTCTCTCTGTGATAACATATA